ATGAAAGCGAGGGGGGGGGTGTTGTTTGGAGTCTAAATGAGTGGCCATTTTTACTCAAATTTACTGCTAAGATTATTTTGGAATAATCTTTTGATATTTAACGGTTGTGAATGGGTTGCGAAACTTACTAGACTACCGATAGAATCGAAACTGATTTTTGAGTTTCAAAATCTGCCAACTTTGCAAGAAAACATGCAGTGAATTATGTAATAAAAATCTTGTGTCTCTTCGGATCTCTCAAAAATCTGAAGTATTCTAAAATTTTCTGTCACATGCCCTGTTGGACTTTGAGCATTTCTTGAGCTCATTATGCTAGCCCATACGAAAAGTTCCGGACAAAAAAGGTCGAGGTAAAAAACAAAAAAGACCACGTCTTATGGAGACTCTCACTCTTATCAGATAAAATTTTGCTAATATCATTGATACCTATTCTTCAGTAGGATCCTATATACAGCAAAGTCATAAACAATAAATTTATCTCATCATTTCCCCTTCTTCTTCTTCTTCTGATTCTCTCTATAAATTTGGAATTGATACTGAAAATGTATTTTTGTTTTAGCTTGTTATAGTAGAGAAATTCAGGAACAAGAGCGTCAGTCAGAGACCAGTGTAGACGAACCCGAGGAAGACGTTAATAAAGAGATGCTCAGCTACATCCGGACTTTGGTAAGCTTCAGTCTCAGGGTAAGTCGAGGAATTATGTAAAACTGAGTGTTTAGGTGCTTAATCTGATGCACACCCCGTTGTCGGCTGCGCTAAAAAGCTCTTTGTTGCTTACTCCTGAGCAATATAAGCAGATGATTGAGGTCTCTTGGTATCTGCTACTGAACGAAGATCCACATGTCGTGCTTAGCGCAGGTAAGCTAACCTAAGAGATCGTGCTCGGCAAGTAAAATAAATCTGCTTAGCATCGATGTTCGTTGTTGCCTGTGTCCGACGAGCAGAGGACGCAGTAAAAGTGATTAGGAAAGCTCTTGAGTCAACAAACGCCACTGATCGTACTGAAGGGATTCAGAGGTACTCCCGATTTACAGAGTTTTTCGCAAAAACATCTTGGTTTTTCTAGGTTTTATGCTTTGTGGAGAAATAGGTTCCATGTTTGGCTGAAGATGGAAGACGGGGCCCAAAGCTCTTTCAAGGCAAGTTATAACTTCGCTGAACTAGCTAAAGTTTCTTCCTTGACAGGGTAACTTTCGCGCTGACCACACTGATATAATTTGAATTTTGACGAGATAGAGTTATAATTATGAATAAATATTTATTTACCTCACTTCAGGTACCACCGCCTGGCATTGATTTTACCTTACCGTCTCCAGCCATTGGACAAAGTCAGCTGCCAGTAGTAGATCCACCCTGGATGCCACACCTGAAAACTAAAATAGAGGAATTGTCATTGAAAGAAGAAGAGCACGCCACGGTGAGCAAAAAAGACTGCTCTATTTTACAGTTCTTTTACACCACGAATAAACCTGCTGAATGTGCGGTACCAAGCTATAGACTACACTTATGGAAGTAGAAAAGTATTATTAACAGATGGTTTTGGTACGAATGGATAGAAAGGACAGCATGCACAGAGAGACGCCGTTAGCTCGGAGATGGTGTAATTGGACTCGCAACATGTCGCAAAATTATTTCAACCCATTTTCCAATCGTTTTATCCAGTCTCCATAAGCTGCCTTCAATTATCCCGCTTCGCTTAAAAGTCCTCATTCGCTATACGCTCTCAATAGCAGTGAGATGAAATGTTTCCAGTCAATCTTTCCCACTTTGGCTCCCCTAGTCAGGGGCAATATCTTTTGGTCATGACTTGCTTCAGCGGTGCAACATGTTGGCATTCCCCAGAG